TCCGCCTGCCAATGCAGGGGACACGGGTTCAATCCCTGGTTTGGGAAGATCCCACATGCCGCGGAGCAACTCAGCCTGTGTGCCACAACTACTGAGCCTGCGCTCTAAAGCCTACGAGCCACAACTACTGAGCCCACGTGCCACAACTACTGAAGCCCATGCACCTAGAGTCCGTGCTCCGCAACAAGAGAAGCCCCCGCTCACTGCAACTAGAGAAAGCCCGCGTGCAGCAACGAAGACCCAAGGTCGCCATAAATAAATAAATAAATAAATAAATAAATAAATAAATAATAAATATGCGAATGCCTTTAGCAAAATTAGACATAAATCAACTTTTACCTCATTAGGAGACTGCTATTTTCAACATTTACCTTAAACCACAACATGGATTAATCTTCTAACCAGTTAGTTTCCTATCTCTCCCCAACCAGATTAGACTGTAACTTTTTTTGAGAGCAAGGGACTGGTTACTGGACCCCATGGGCCCAGCTAATACATTTTATAAACTCTGTAAGTCTCCACACAGACATAAATGTTGCTACTTTTAAGGCCTTAAGGAATTCTTTAATCTTTTAAAGCTATTTTGATCAGAGCAGGTGTCCTTAACTGTTACTATCAATGTATACAAGTGGGTTCTCAAAGTGTGATCCTGAGGCCCTGAGAGTTTCCAAAACCCCTGCATGGGGTATATGAGCTCAAACTATTTTCATAAATAACACTGATGTTACTTTTATTCTTTACCCTCATTCTCTCACCAGCATGCAGTGGAGTTTTCCAGAAGCTACATGATGTGTGATATCTCAAGAGACTGCAAAAGCAGATATGAAAATCCAGCTGTCTTCTATTAAGCCAGACAACAGAGTTGCCAAAATTAAAATACTGCCAATCTTCTCACCAATTTTTTTGCTTTGAAAAGTATATTTTATACAAACTATTATGTTAACAGGTAATGGATTTATTATTGATAATTGTAAATGATTTAATATATATTAAATTTTTTTGTTTTAATTCCTAGTTCAGCAAATATCAATAGATATAAGCTGTACAAACAAAGGCTCTTTGGGTTCTTAATAATTTTAAGAGGGTAAAGGGGTTCTGAAGACAAAAAGCTTCAGAACCACTGTAGTACACAATTATAAAACATATACAATAATATATACCAAGGGCTTCCCATAGATAAGAAGCTCAAGTTAATTGTGAAGTATAATTACTTCTTACACCTCTAATCTTGTTGAATAATATATCTCCTTGAAAAGCATAATTCAGCATAAAGCCAGTCCATCCCAGGCCCTACCTAAGGGGCTTTAGATATTTATTGAGAGTCCTCTTTATAAAGATGTTCTGACCTATAATACCACCTATTACTTGAATAGTGTTTGGAGTTTCTCGAAGTTTTCACAAAAATTACCTTGTTCATCCTAACAAGTAAGTAAAGTAAGTAAATGTGAAGTATTACTCCCATCCCCCCGCCTTTTTTTTTTTTAACAGAGGACATAATGAAACCTATGCTCCAAGGAAACAGAACTACCTTCCAAGGATGTATTGCTACCTAGGAGAGCCTAGGATGTTGGTCTTTTGCAATTTGCTTGGCTGCCTTAAGGCTGTTTCACTGTGGTGTAACTGCAAGCTCCCAAAGAAAACAAAGCAAGGGCATTAATTTTAGTGTCCCAGGGCCAAAACAGAGATTTTTCCCTCCCTAATAAGATTGTAATCAGACTCAATACCTGGTCACCGCATTATTCCACACACTGGCTACCCAAAAAGAAAGAAAAAGAAAGAAAGAAATGAAGGAAGAAATTCCAGAGTGCTGGAGAATAAATGCCAGAATACATAACCCTCCAAGATGATGAATTAGTCAAGGACTCACAGCTTTTTTTTTTTTTTTTTACCCCACATTTGTTCATTTATTTATTTTTGGCTGTGTTGGGTCTTCGTCTCTGGGCGAGGGCTTTCTCCAGTTGCGGTGATAGGGGGCCACGCCTCATCGCGGTGCGCGGGCCTCCCACTACCGCGGCCTCTCCTGTTGCGGAGCACAGGCTCCAGACGCGCAGGCTCAGCAATCGTGGCTCACGGGCCCAGTTGCTCCGCGGCATGTGGGATCCTCCCAGACCAGGGCTCGAACCCGTGTTCGAGCTGCACTAGCAGGCAGACTCTCAACCACCGTGCCACCAGGGAAGCCCTCACAGCTTTAATAATCATTTAATCACTGAAACAACAGGCAGGCAAGAACAAGATCAAGCTCAATACAAAAACATGGGACTATATCAATGAATGGGTGCCAAGAAGTTAAAGCGCAAGGCCCACATGAAATGGGTTCAACTCACAGAACATGAGCAGAAGGAAAAAACCCACATAAAGTTGCAAAACTAGCTTTATTGGTTCTACAAATCCACGCACGTGACTAAAATCACCCTCCCAAAGCAAATGTCAAAGACAAACTTCGTTGCAAGATGCAAAGATGACATCCTAGCCCTTGGATAGAAATCACCCCTCCCTGATCAGCTCGGTGCTTTGTGACCACCTAGAGGGGTGGGATCGGGAGGGAGGGTGGGAGGGAGGGAGACGCAAGAGGGAAGAGATATGGGAACATATGTATATGTATAACTGATTCACTCTGTTATGAGGCAGAAACTCACACACCATTGTAAAGCAATTATACTCCAATAAAGATGTAAAAAAAAAAAAATCACCCCTCCCTTAAGACTACACACACTAGTTTGTCCTTTTTATCAGCACAAGCCTCTTAGTTATGCTCCAATCTAACTTAAGTTCCTCAAGAGATGCTCAATTTTCTGCATCTCTTTTCCACACTCAAGTGGACGCCCTGACTGACAAAGGCAAGACTGACTCACAACAGGATATCTGCCACTTGCATAAACTCTTTTCCTTTTTTTAGATGCATGTGACCATTGAGGCCATTTTAAAATTTGATGTGATTTTACCTAGAAACAGCCAGAAGTGTGCTGTCTGCTTTGTATCTATCCCTGTAGTTCACCACAGATGAGGAAAAGTAATTTCATCATTCCTCATGAGGTATGCTTTTCCTAGTGTTTACTTTGGTCGTTTTTTTTTTTTCCAATCCCTGGGGCGGGGGTTACAGTTACAGCACCACAGCTCTACCTACAATTATAGATAATACAACACCAACTAATTTGTAAAGCAATTTGACACACCTTATTTGTTGTTTCATACTCAACATTCACTGTAGAAGAAACATTCGTAGGTAAGTTTCTACATCCTCATAAAAGAACTGCAATACTGCACCATAAAACCAATTAACCGGTTAATCTTCATGGGCTTTATGCAGAAAAAGACAATCTGACTTTACAAAGGCAAGCAAAGCATCAAACCTCTGAGAGCTCAAGGAAACCGCAGTTATTTCCATTCCTTATCCCAGGGTACATTTTTCTTTGTGGCCTTACCTGGATTTTTCTCCAAGGACATAATCAACATTTAAGTAACCTGTCAAAAGTGTCAAGGCATTCTCTGAACTATCCTCCCAGCTCCGGCCCACAATGAGAAATGTCACACAGCTAAATCGTACCATTGCTGTTTTCTTCCTTTTACTTCTTCAAATGAACTTAAGATTTTTGAAATGCACAATTCAAATTTTACACTACAACGCAAACTACCACTGATCATCTCAAAGCTTATAAACAAAGACTCTATCGGCGGTACCAGGGCCCTACCAGGAAGTAATCAAAGCAGTGTGGCCGGTGCGATCTTAAGTCGCTAGAGCAGACAATAAGAGGGCACTGGGGCTTCCGAGGGGCCCGGCAGAAGGAGATAAGATGCTTAAGCAATGCTAAAGCATTACATAAACCTAATAACTGTCCTACAGCACATGGACTCGGAAATCCCAAAGCAATTTCAAACGAACAAAAATATCTGAAAGGCAACGCGAGCCGCCCCTCCAAAGCAGCTGCTCGATCAGCCTTCTGAGCTTTTTCAGCCCGCAGCCTGTTTTCAAACTTCACCTTCCCAGGCTGATGAAAGACTCCGACCTCGGCCGCCCGAGTTCTGAGCACCTCTCGAGGTCCCGGCTCCCGCTCGCCCGGCGTGGATCTAGTCGCCGGAGCATGGGGGGAAGCGAAAGGAAGCGGGTCCGGGGCAGGTAGCGAAGGGCCCCAGCGCGCCCTGCAGCCCAGACAAAGCTGCGCCCCTGAGCGGCGCTTTTCCCGTCCGGTCTAGGAGGGGACGCAACTCGGGCCCCGCCACACGTGCGGCCGCCTTGTGGGGGCCGGACACCCACCCCCACGGCCCCCGACCCGGCGACACAGGCCAGCACAACCCCCGGGCACTGCAGGGCGGCGCGGGGGCGCAAGCCGCAGGCCAAGGTCCCCGCTCGCCGCCGTCCCCACGAGCTCGTGGCCCCCGCGGTCTCTATCCCTCGCGGGCCTCTCCTTCGCCGGCCGGACCGTCGGGCCGCGGGAAACAAAGGAGCCGCCGCCGCCGCTCCGCCCGCCTCGCCGCGTACCCCTCCC